ATTTACAAAGCTACCTGGGTCGCATTCTGCAGATGGTGCTCCAAGGGTATTATCGATCCTCTTTCGGCGTAGGTACCTGAGATCTTGAATTTTTTACAACAGGGATTGGATAGTGGTCTCTCGCCCAATAGTATCCGGAGACTGGTGGCCGCTTTGTCACAATTCTGACGGCAAGCACCCCCTTTCTCAACATTCAATGATGCACAGTTTCCTAAAGGGAGCAGCAAATCTGAGACCACCAGTGGTACATCGGTACCCCACATGGGACCTTTTTATTGTTTTGCAGGCCCTCATTTCTGTGCCATTCGAACCCCTAAAAAACAAGTCTCAGACTCCTGTCCCTCAAAGTGGTCTTCCTAGTGGCAGTTATCTTAGCCAGGAGGATTTCTGAGCTGGCAGCGCTGTCCTTACATGAGGACCTGTGCATCATTCGTCCAGACAGGGTTATTCTGAGACTAGATCCATTCTTTATTTCTAAAGTGAACTCCTGCTTTCATGGGCCCAGTCATTTTACCGAATTTCTGCTCAGGAGCCAGCCATCCTACCAAAAAATGATGGCATAAATTAGATGTCTGAAGAACAATTTGTAGATACACTAAAAGGATTCCTTTCGTCCAGCACACTGAATCACTCTTTGTTTCCTTCCAGCCCGCATCCATGGGCAAGAAAGTGACTCCATCCACAATTGGTCAATGGTTGAAAGCCTGCATTGCTATTGCTTATGAACACCAAGCCAGGCCAGTAACATGCTGCATAATGGCTCATTCAACTTGTAGCGCAGTCACAACCACTGCTTCGGCTGCGCAGGCGTCGGTCAAGGAAATTTGTAGAGCTGCAACCATCACCCTCGCTGGTCTTACCTGAACTATAGTTCTCTGTGCGCTGCAAGAGAATCCAATCCCACCCGATGGGCCTGGGTCCAGCATCCACGTGCAACCGATCTCCACATTGTTACAAGTCTTCTGGTCTACGCTTCATTGAGAACTGGAGTCAGTCGAGCGAGGGAGGTGTGACCAAAGTCTTTTCAGCTCAGTCTCTGGATAAATAAACAGAAGTTAAACCCTTGCTTGGATTCTCCTGCAGCGCACAGAGAACTACCATTTGGGGAAGAAAAGTGACTCATTTCATAAATCTGTAGACTAATTCTTTCAATCAACTATGTAAAAAAGAGGTGCATTCTTCCCACTGTAGATTATATTTTTCCACAACTTGCTGCTGCTCAAGTATTTCCATTGCCCAATGCTGAGAGTGGGTTTACTAGATCTAATTAACTATGTTTATCGCACTGATAGATTTTTCTTCAAAAGATTGCTTATGAGGATTTCTAATACTACTAACTTGACATGTTTCCTAACAGCATGTGAAAGATATTTCAATATTCATGGATATTTTTGATTATAGCCTTATTGAAGATGAACAAGGTCAGAAACTATGTTCCAGAAAATCATTCATAAAATTGAGGAAAAGCAATTATATCCTATATATCACATATTTTGGACACATACTGCACATACTTTGGAGCTCAGAATCAAAGTAGAAAGACAGTCAGTCATTCTATTTTTTTTAAGTATAATGTTCTTGAGTTAAATAATATTTAAGCAATGCATACAAGTAGTATTTTGTTTATTTTTGAAAGCCTTCCTATTGTCCATAAAATGCTTATATTACATGCAATGCACAATAAATAATAAAGCAAAGTAGAAACAACTGTATCCTGAACATATACCATCTTTGTAAATTTTCTGTGAAAATATATTCAATTTTAATATTTGCTACCATGTGTAATAACATAATACTTTTCTTAAGCCTGGAATAGAAAGTTGTAGAATTTACTAGACATGATCTCGATAGAAGCTGAGCATATCCCCACTTTTTTTCAAATAATTTTTGTAGAAATATATTGACATTTCGGGTCCTGAGAGGACAAGTTATAGAAGGTATAAAAGGTAATATTTTAGATATTTTTTGGTTTCATCTGGGCTGTATTGAGAGAACTGATACATCTTTTTTTAAAAAAAAGTTGATTTGACTTCCAATTAAGGCAAAAATGTCCAATAAAAGTTAGTACTGACTGCATTTATTAGATAGACATAAGCTTTTGTTTTCCTTCAGGATCATTGTGATAGTTCAGAGAACATCCTGTGCACTCTATCCTTTGAAGATGTTAATCTGTTTTGCTTTTATCATGCCAAAAATATTTTTGTACGAATTAAAGTTGAAACATGTACTGGCTCCTGAGCCGAGGAAAAACTGTGACTTTTAAGGAAAAGCAAACAAGTTCTATGTCTCTTCACCCACACTTTTTAGAAATGAATCCAAAGAACTGCACTTCACTATCTGATCCATAATTGTGGCAATAAAATCTTTTTTGGACATACATTAAGATTTTAAATTGAACACTAGAAAACCAGTTTCTTAATAAGATGGTTATTTCATTCACATGGCCTAGTATTCAAGAAATATTTAAATCATGTTATTACACTTACATAAAACACATGTTTTATTTATTTAAAACAGCAGTGGGGGAATTATGGCCCTTATATGAGTTGTAGACTTTAACTTCCATGCTGGCTCAGGCATTCTGGGAGTTGAAGTCCACAAGTCATAAAAGGGTTATAGTTCCCCACCTCTGATTTAAACCATTTGTATAGTTCTTACTGTTTTAAAAATAACAAAGTTTAAATTCAAACAAAACAAGTAATTTAAATCCTTGATTAAAATATATATTAAAATATTAAATAAAAGACTGTTAAAAACAAAATAGTAAAAGATAGTAAAATAGTAATGTGAACTATAAATGATAGCATCATTAATGTTTTGTTTAAATGTCTTAAGAGAATAGGAATGCTTAGTACCAGAAAGAACAATAAATCTGTCAACAGATGTATCTTGCTGGTGAGAGCATTCATAAACAAGGATTTACCACTGAAAAAGCTCCTTTCATTTACCACATTTTAGTATGGGAGAATGCCTGGATTATGCCCTCCAAAAGTATTATTGTATAAGTACAAATATATGGGAAGAAATGTTCTGTTAGATAGTGTGATCCCAAACTAGTTTAAATATGTGGCTGGAAATCAATTGGCAGTCAGTGAAGGTTATAGAATTGGCATGATGTATTTGTATTGTCTCTTCCTAGTGTATGTTTCACTGGGGCATTTTCTACCAACTGAAATGTTCAAATGGTCAAGGGAACATATAACATATATGCAAAATAACATATTGCATAGCTTCAAGAAGAGTTAACCAAAGCATGGATAGTAGTAGGAGGGAATCATTATCCAATCGTAACTATAGTTGGTGTGTCAGCCTTAGCTAATGAAGCTGCTTTGTGCCACAGAGGCCATTTGTGCCTGAAAAATTCACAATGAATAAAGGAGTACCTCAAAGCTGTAAGTATGATCCTTTATGAGGAATACAGTACTATCCACAGTAGGTTGAATTCCACTGATGTGGGCATTTGCCATTCACTGGTAGAACCTTTCCTTGTCTGATTAATCTTCAGTGTTTGGGTTTTTATCTAGTCCATTTACTGCATGGAGGCAATAGCTCAACAATTGCACCCAAGCCAGTGAAAAAGAGAAATAGAACCTCATATCATCAGCCCACAGATGCATTTTATGATATATCTGTGTATAATATTTCTTGTAGGAAGAAATTTAGAAGCTTCCCACTTAATGTGATCAACCATGAGATAAAATCAGGCAAATATATTGTTGGCTGAACACTATTCAGTTAATCAAATATTAAAAACTGATGTCTGAACTCGCAATATTTCTGCAGACTGAATTGCTAAAATTGAACATTGTCACAAGAAATGTGATAGATTTTACCCTCAAAGCATGTAGTAAATATAGATAATCCTCACTTAGTGATTGTTTTAAATTACAGTAGATCTCAAAGAAGCTACTTACAACCTAAATTCAAATTATCTTCCTTCCTTACCTGTGGTCATGTGATCACAGTTTGGGCACTCATGAACTGACCCACATTTATGACCATTTGCAGTGTCACACAATCACAATTTATATTTTTGTGGGAAAACACACCCATTGTGAACAATGATTGCCAGAAAAAAATGTCACAAAATTGGGTTGGTCATGTGTTGACCAATTTAATGACTGGCGTTACTTATGATCAAAATTCAGGGTTTAATTACAATTTTAAGTTGAAGACCACCTGTAAAGGCTAATAAAGTTTTTTTGTTTTTTTTTTAAACGGATAGATTGCTACTTCAATAGGCAATAAGCTGAGAGGAAAAAAAAGAATTTTAAGATGCAGCAGTTCTCCCTTCCTGATTATATGAATGACATTGGGAGCTAGAGATTCTCGAAGCAGGAATATCAATAACATTAACACCTAACAGTCCCAGCTCTAAACTCACAAGGTATAAACACCAGGCCTAAAAGAAATGCAGGATATAGCAAAACTATTTCTGGGGCAAAAATGGCAGCAGTAGTGCTGTTGCGTCTTCTCCATAACAATATATTTTATTTATTTGCTTGCATGTATCTGATAGCGGTTGAGAAATTTTTTAATTCTTCAGAAATACATTCCTTACTGTGAAATGTAAAATTGCTCGATCTATCCTGTCAAGACATTTCTTATTATTTTGGAATAGTTTGATTCATTTAGTTAACTTTTATGATCTTCCATTGAACCATTAAAGTATATTACCATATCTTTTGAATAATATGTTTGGTCTTTATAATTCTTTTTTTTAAAAGAAAATAGGGAAACATTTTATGATTATTATGATTAAAATGTGCATATGCATTATAGATAGGTTTGTGAGGGGTAAAAGTTCAATGAAACTGGGTTATCTTCCATTACTTAAGCTATGTTTTTGTTTTGTTTTGTTTTGGGGTTTTTTGAGAACATGCCAGTGACTAAGAATTGGTGGGAGGATATGGAAAAAAAGGTTTACAAATTAATGTGTAAAGAAAATTGTATTAATGAGTAATACTGCACATACATATTTCTTGCATTGTATCTTCTAGGCAATACAATTAATGAAGAAAGAAAGAATTCTGAAAATAAACCTCCACTATGTGTGACGGGACCTCAGTTTGATCCTACTTCACAGGTCAGAAATCCCTTATCTGCTGTTTTGAAATATATTACATTGAATTAGAGCTAACGGGTCTGGTTTGCAAAATTATAGACAACCATAAATATGGCAGCAAAGAAGCACTGAAAAATATTTTTTGCTGTAGTCTAGACATTTGCAGCCCAATAACTGATTATAAGAATTGCTGAATAGCAACATTTGCTTCTGTATTTAGTTACAGTTTTAAATATAATGTTTCTGTCATAAACCACTCAGAATTAGAGAATCAACAGGCAGCTCCAGCCAATATTTGGCAAGTGAACTAGAATGCTGCCTGTAATGTGAAGTGTTGCACTGCTATTGTATGAATGTAATAAGCAGTGACATGCGGTGAGGTTTATGGCTTGTGAGCACTGCCACAAATTTTTTTAGACTTGTGGACTTCAACTCCCAGAATTCCACAGCCAGGTATGCTCAGTTCTGATTTAAAGCGACAGCATTTGTTTTTCTCCTTTGCAAAATAAGTTTCCTTCTTTCTTTTTCTTTTTCTTCTCCCTTCCCCTCCTTCCTCCCTCTCTCCCTCCCTCCCCCTTCTCAATCACACACACACACAAAGTTGGATTGGAGGGAATCAGGGAGACCACAGGAGGAGGCAGGAATCCAGTCATACTGGAGCACACACACTTTCCCCCAGCTTCACTGATTACAGGTTTGAAAAGACAATGTGGCTCTGCCTGCAATCTAACTACACTTGGGGGGGGGAGAGCATTTCCCTCCAGCCTTTGCCCAAAGCCCCGTACCAAGAGGATGAAGTTTGAATTCCTCCCCCTCCCTCCGACCCACACGTACCTTTTCCAGCTATTTCAGAGAGGATTTGAACTCTGCTCTTGCCTGCCATCATGAAAAGAAAAAAAATGTAAAAAGAAAAAGGCAAGAGCTGAGGTCAGGCTGGGCTAGTTGCTGCCAGAGTCACCGTGTGGATGACTCTGCTTAACTGTTTAAAAAAGCCTCTAAAAAGCACCCTCTACAGGAGGAGGCAGGAGAACGATGTGCCTCATCTACATCAGGAATTTTTCGGCTTTTAACCTTTGCTTAACTCTGCTCGAGTGATCATAAAACGCCAGACTAGATGAGGCACGTCATTCTCCTGCCTTCTCCTGTAGAGGGTGCTTTTTAAAGCCTTTTTTAAACAGTTAAGCACTAAGCAGAGTCGTCCACGGTGACTCTGGCAGCAACTAGCTCAGCCTGACCTCAGCTCTTGCCTTTTTCCTTTTACATTTTTTTTTCATGATGACAATAGTGAGGCCCTGCCTCCCCTGCCTCCCCGACTGCACATCACTGGTAATAAGTGATGTTATTAATAATATTGTGAGATTTACTTTAAAATTGTGCATGTATTGCTATTACTATCATTTATAGAGCTTTAAAATATTACTACAAGTAACAATTAAAAACTTTAAAATGTAATATAAATGGAAAGAGAAAGAAGACACTGGTATATTAATTATTCAGTGGTATTATGATTGGTTAACTATAGTGATATCAAGTCAAATGTAATGGCAAGATTCATAGTAGTAATTTATCTGATTAATACATCCAACCTGTTAGGGTAAGCAATATATTTAACGACTTAACTTGATATTTTCACTGCAGGAGCATCTAACTATACTAACTATATTGCTAACCAGAAATAATCAGATTATTTCTAACACCACCCGTTTCCAATGATCTCTGCTCATCCTATGAGTTCTGGCATATTGGACATGCTTAAGATCCCTTGCAACATATGCCTTGTAAAACAATATCCCACCTGACATTCAGATGGCCTGACCCTGTTGCCTCTCTATAAGGCCCTCAAAATCTGGTTCTTTTCCTGGACATTGGACAAGAACATCAGATGAGCCTATTCCAAAATGAAAGATCTTCAATAAAATATGCAGTAGTTGGTCTCTGTTATTCTATTTTTCTGCTTAGGATGTTTGTTGTGTTTTCTTTTTGTGTCTTCATTTTTATGCTTCTACTCAAGTAAAGCCTATGCTGTGATGGCGAACCTCTGGCACACGTGCCAGATGTGGCGTGCAGAGCCCTCTCTGTGGGTACGCATGGCATCGCCAGCTGCTCTTCCGGGTTCCGTCATGTGCATGCATGCCGGACAGCTGGTCTGTTGTGCATGTGCACCGATCAGCTGCTCTCTTCCGGGTTCCAGCACTCTGGCACACACATACTCCAGTTGTGGCACTTGGTGCTGAAAAGGTTAACTATCACTGGCCTAGAGTCATTTTTGTGAAAATGATTTACATAAATATAAAATAAACATATAAAACAGGATAAGAATTCAACATCTTCTGATTTCTAGTCAAGGTCTTTTAACCACCACATCAAACTAATTGTAATTTCTAATTGTATAAATAATATATATTAGATAGTGAGCTTTTGTTGGATTTAAATTATTCATGATTGACATAAACTTATTACCAGTTCAAAATTCAACATTCAAGTCAAAACATTCTTTTATTGTATGCTATATGTTAGTGAGAAAATACAGAGGGAACAGATATAAGCAATCAATGCCTGAATAATGTTTTTCAGTCAATACGGTACAAGAATGTTTATAGAAACAATTGCAAAGACATAAAATATTCTTCTATTTATTAGGACAGTAGGATGCTAAACCTTCTCAGACATTGTGAGATTAAAGTTCTAGTGATATGATAAACTGTCCATCACATATTAAACATTTTACAAAAGAAGACTGGTTGATTAAATAAAATTATCACATACACTATTCTTAATTTATGTAGCTATTAAACTACTATAAAATATTTTTAATATTAAGAATGGTCTCATATTATTTGAATCAAACTTTACTCAAAGGATATTTATTTTTTAATGTTAAATTTAACATTTTATCTAGTGGAGAAAGTAATCCCACAATAATTGGGTGAAACATATTAATAAGTAGTTAATAAGTTTTTGATAAAACATTATCTGCTTGCCTGATCCTGCAGTTCCTCCTTGGGAACCCTTTGTATATGTCTAGAAAAAGTATTAATTTTATTTGTTAACTAATTATGAAACAAATCATTATCATGATTAATCTGAATTGAAGGCCATTCATATTTTAAATTGTTTTCTGGCATGTAATAATACTATTTCTTCTATGTAAATAAAGGAACAATCTTGCCCCTTCTAGTTCCTTTCCTTCAGCCTATCCCTAACAAATTTCTTATTCTCTTATTTCAAACAATTTATTCTTATTATTCCTATCTTTCAACTTCCTATTCTCTCTCCCCCTAACTTCAGACATTAGCGCTCACATACTCCAATCTTCTCCCATCCTGTTGAACTGCCATGACCAAGTTTCTAATCGCTAATTGAAACTGAAAAATAAGCCACTGATTATTCTACTCTACTTCATTCCACTCACCAAAATGTTCATTGTTCACAAAAGGCAACTATATGCTCTCTGAACCAAAAAAAATATTTCCAAAGAACCCTCAGGCTCAGGAATCTGTTACTAGCTTAAAAAACTGTCATTTGGAAAAATCTTTATAAATGTGCTTTAATGCCAGGATAGAATTGAATCATATTTTAGCAGGAATCTTTAGCTATTCTGTACGTTTAAATCAGAATCTTCTTAAAATGATGATTCTGTGTATATGATCTTAAAAGCAATATAACAATAGTATCACTTTAAATATCAGTGAAAATTTGCCTTTTTGCTGATGTATTCTGTTTCTTTCCCCAGGTATACTGTTCTCTGGTATTTTTCTTCAATATTTATAGAAGGTGTTCAGTCTTTAAGTGAAGTGGATATATATCATTATTTAATATTTGCTCCACATAGGGACTATGTTTATGAGCATTCTTGTTTTATTTCATTCTATAAAAAACTATTGTAAATATTTATATCATTTCAAAATTTATTTTAGAGGAAAATAGAAAAGTTAATGGTGTATATAGTTACCAATTATTAATTATATATATATATATTACTATACTAACTTATATATATACTACTATACTACTTTATTATATATATTACTACTAACATGTAAATTGTATAGACCTTTCAGTGTTATTTGTCACAAAGTATGAACACGAAGCATACTTGCATTCATGTCCTGTTTGTGGTCTTCTCATACGTATCTGGTTAGCCATTGTGAAACAAATTTCTAGACAAGAGAACCTGGGAAATGTTTCAGTGCAAATATTTTTGTTCTTTCTTTCATTTTCTTAGGCAAATTCAGAAAACCAGTCAAAGTTGACTGAAGCAGACATTGAACCAGAGGCAAAGAAAAGTCAGAATATGGAAAGCAGTTCTGTGTTGGAATTTCCAAGTGATGTACCTTTTGCACTTGCACCACATATTTTGGCAGTACAGGATACCTGTAATGATTTCTCAAGACAATTGATCTCCTGTGATGTTAACGACAATTTAGCACGATTTTGGTATGATTTTACACTTGAAAATTCAGTATTATGTGAGTCTTAAACTTGGGTTACTAATATAAAATGTACCTAAATCACCTGAAGTAAAATATGCTATGTCTGTCATGTAAATCAGTTGTTTGTATCGAGCACTAGTCTGACAGAACATTACCATTTTCCATCATTGTCGTGTTTCTTACATAACAATATAAGAACAGTTAAGCCAAACATTATAAGTCAATTACAGCAAATAGATTATAATCTGCACTCACTGAAAATAATCATAGAAACTCCCAGATATTGATATTAGCTTAGTCCTTGCTTGATCATGGAAAAATAAATGTTATATTGTATTGTAATTTACAAATAATCAACTTTTACTATGATATTAATAAATTAGTCAATTTTATTACAGCATCTTTTGTTGGAGAAATCACAACAAAATTTTAAAATATAAATTTATACATCATTAGTGCAGAATGAATTGATATCAAATATATGAGGTTGGCTTTGGAGTTTGATTCATATTTCTTGGAATTATAGTTTTTGATTGGCTATTCATGTTCTGTATTCTAAATTTCTATGTTCAGTTTTTGTATTGCAAGTTTTTGTTGCAACTACTAGTTGGGATATATGAATATACTATATATTATGTCTGTCTGTGTACATATGATGGGTGCATATGTGTATATGCAGATGGGTACATAATATATATATGCATGTTTATAAATTTATTTACACCAGTAAAATAACAATGCATATTTAAAATATATCAATATAGCTTTTCATGAAATACTGTATGCCACACTTCTCTATCCTCATCTCCTTCTGTTATCTTATTTTTTTCATTGCTTATATGCAGTGAAGAACAATATACAAGATGTAAAAGGTGGATAATATTGTGTAAAATATAATCATATTTTAAACAACAAATTAAATCTTAAGGAGAACCATATTGTCCAGTCTTTCTATTGTATGACAAAGAAGCTAAGAATGCAAGCATTTTTTCAAGATAGCTGTCAGGTTCTGATGTAAAGGTGAGGAAAAAAACCTCAAAACTAGAGTTCTGAATTGAGTATATTTTATCTGCCTCACAAACACCGACACGAACTGATATCCATTAACAGGCAATTCAAAGTCAGGACTAACCGTCCAGTAACTATCCCACCTTTTAAAACTGGTTCCTACCTCAGCCCAGCCTCTATTCTTCCCTAAGCTGAGTCAGTAGCCATTTAGCAGGGAAGCCAGCAGAGTTCAATCATAAGCCATGCTCAGTTCACATGCCCGTAATCTTCCATTTTTGTTTCAGCTGCTTGGCCGCCCATCAGCTGTTTGATGTTGATCTCAGCAGTGGCTCTACGGTTTGGTGGGTTTAGCTGCATGGTGGCCGTATCCCTTCTCAGTTCCCCACAGAATTGGCAGCCCTGGGTTTCCAGACACACCAGATCTGACACTAGCCTTTAGTATCGGGTATATAATATTCTTTCCAAGCAGTCATAGGAATCTTTCCTGCAATAATCCAGGCTTGATAGGCCACTATTCTTCACTGATAAAACATTCAATTTTTGAGAATATAATTTAACAACACATTGAAATCGTAAATACTTTTCCTAAATCATATTTAAAAAGTTAAGGCTTTTCTACCTGTATGGGACATGTCTAAATCACTCATATTACAAATTTGTTGCATTTCTGATATAAAAAAGACACTTTTTAAAAATATTTATTGAGGAATCTAAAAAGATTAATTTTTACAAATTAATCTCCTTATATTTATAAGAAACATATTCATTTTTAAAGATCTGAGATTATTACCTTGAAAGAATTGGAAACTCCAGTTCTGTTTTCCAAATTTATTACTAATATTTATTAAATCTCTTAAAATATCCAGTGAAGAATTAGATTGACTCCAAAAAGAATCTTTGATATACTAAGAAACATAATTATGCAAGAGAATCAATTCTAAGAGCATGTACATTATAGTTGCACGTTAAAATCTCCAGTTCATTGAAAAAATATGTTTGCTAATCATACATGGTTCCTAATGATCTCAATAATATATGCATAATATTATGGTTGCCCTTTTGTGTCCTAAATAAACATATGGCTTAACAGAAAATAGAAAGCATGAAATAAGGTGAAACTTAAATATAGCACAAAATATGTTTTGATCAGCATCTCCTGTTTGATAACTCTTACATGAGTTCATTCATTTTATTTCTCAGAGAGAGGGTCTGAGAAAGTGAGGGTCAATGAGAGGGAGAAAAGAAAGAATGGCTAAGAGAGAAAATATTCAGTTAAACATTGCCAAAAATAAAATATTATAATTATTAGTCGAGCTATAAATGAACTTTCAAAGACTGTGACTTACTTAGGAAAAATGGTAAGCTTTATTCCAAACTATACAGATCTTTATTATTTCCCCTTCCTTGAGATCCAGTAGACTAAGATGGAAAATATATAGCTTTTCAAATTCTATGTATAAACATACATGCAATTATATCTTTAAAAATCCTGCAAAATATTTGAAATTATTTCCTAAATTCACAATCATTTTTTCTAATTAAATCTGATTTTAAAAGTTTGCTCGATTTTTGCTGCTCACATATTTTTTTCATGAATCAAGTAAATCTTTTATAAAACTTCATAAAATAGAAATGTAAGGGTTTTGCAAAAGCCAGGCAAGATGTCTGTGGATTCAACAAAACCATATTATTGTACATGGCTAATGATGTTGGGGTTTTGTCTGATGATGACTTGAAACTAGGCTTTCTCAGACATTACCTGTAGATTGTAGCACACAATACTGTAAATATCATGAGTCTTTATGAAAGCCTCAAAATCTGTCTGTCTCATAATTTTAATAATTGCTAATAGTGTTAAATGGTTTTTAATGAGCTTTGTTTGTATATTTTGTTTAAATGCATTAAATTATTTTATTTCTAATAATTATAACAATAAATTTCATAAATATATCTTTTTTTTCTTTGTTGTGTTTTCTTTCACTTTTTTGTTAAAGCATTTTCTACATGTTCCCTTTCTTCCTTCTTTCTCTGTATTTTTGTATATTCATGTATATATCTCCATATCTACTATTTTTGTTTTGGTTTTTGTTATTAATAAATTATGACTACTTAAAAAGCAATAAACATTAAAAAAAACAATATTTCAGTACTATTAATATAATAGCACTAGAAATAATAATAAATAGCTACTTATAAATTTGTGCTTAAGGTAAAACAATATTTAACATTATCCAAGACTGGACTGTTTTAGTTAAAGTAAAAAAAAGTTTTGTTTTCAGGTTTCCCCCCCATCTATTTTAATGTTATAACTGTAGTCTATGGTCCATCTCTAGATAGAAGACAATTTGTTCATAATTGCTGTTCAAAACAGTTTAGAAAGCTGCAGAAATGTGTCACTTAATAATTTGATGTCCTTAGTGGAAATAAAATATTTCTTTTTTGTTATTCATGTGGCAGATAAGAGGGCATTTTAAATAGACCAATTATTTATACATGGAAACAGAGTAAAATAATATAGACTACTGTATTTCCCTGAAAATAAGACTTGGTCTTATTTTCTTTTGGGCTCCAAAATAAGCACTAGGGCTTGGTTTTGGGGGTATCTTATTCCCCTCCCCCATTTATAGGAGCCCCACTTTTCCTTGCTCACGAAGGGCACAAAACTGTGCCAGTGCCACTACTGTAAGACAGGGGAAGGTGAAGCTGTCCCACATGCCCCACACAGGCTTACCTCAGTGCCCCTGCAGCCAGACCACCCATGCCCCAACATCACATCACAGCAGCAGCCCTGACAACCCCGTCCAGCAAGGCCCTGCATGACCCCCCCAGCCCACTTCTGCTTGCTCATGGCCACAACAGAGCAGGGGTCTGAGCGATGCACCGGTGCCATGGCCATGAGGTGAGATGGGAGGTGGACCTGCCCCATGCACCCCGCACCAACTTACTTCACGGCCCCTGCAGCCAGGCCATCTATGCCCCAACACATGCCTCACCTCCCAGCCATGGCACCAACACACCACTCAGCCTTCCGCTCCATTGCGGCCGCAAGCAAGCAGAAGTGGACCAGCAGCCACATGGGTTCCTGCTGCACATTGCTATTGGTGCTGCCACTGCGAGGCAGGTGTCGGGGCATGAATGGCCAGGCTGCAGTGGCCTTGAGGTAAGCCGTTGTGGGATACATAGGGCAGCCCCACCATCCCATGGCCGTGGCACCACAAGCAACTAGATGGAATTGACAGGTGGTCAGTTGTGCAGGCTCCTATGTAGGGCTTATTTTGGAGGTAGGGCTTATATTAGGCGCACACAGAAACATGCTAGGGTTTATTTTTGGGATAGATCTTATTTTCAGGGAAACAGGATAGTTCTTGTATGGGGAAGAAATAAGCAAACTAAAGAAATCTTCGAATTTAATACTGAGAAAGAGGAAAGTATAAGATAAACTTTTTAAAAACTCTCTGCCTTGATTTTATTTAATATTGAATAGAAAACTCTTGACAGGCTTTCAAGATTCTGTTATTCCACTCAAAAACTATAAAACTATTCTTAAAATCCATGCTATGGCACTTTCTAGGCTTTGTCTATTTTCAATGGCTGACACTAGAGAATGATAATTTATTTCAGTGTGGTTGCTTCTGATTTCTGGTTTGTAAAAGGGGAAGATAAAAAATGGAACTATATGACTTGAGAATTTGTTAATGTAGGAAAAACCTCATATTCATATCTAAACCATGACATTCTAAAGCAGCGTTTTTCAACCTTGTTTGCCTGAGGATGTGTGGACCTCAACTTTCAGAATTCCCCTGTCAGCCATGCAGGGGAATATCAACACATCTTCAAGTGCCAAGACTGAGAAACAATGTGCATGATTTGCCCTTCAAGCAATATTCAAGGCTTAGATATCAACCTAGTTCTGGACAACAGCTGCAGTACAATGCTGAGCCACCAAGACTGGTATAAAATAGATACTGGAGATAAAAATCCAATGTAATGGATTGTCTAACATCACTTGGTACATAACACATAATTTACAAGATTGAAAATTTATTTTCATTAATATAGCTAAAAAAAGCAAAATTTAATTGAATAACATTTACCAGTTTAAATATGTGTCCTCTCACCAAAAGAATCCTCCAATAAAATTTATCATGTAAAAATATGTATCTTTTCCACTTAATTATTATGCTCTATTAATATATCTTTGGAAAGCTATTATAAAATAGTTATAATGAAGTAATATTAATGCTTCATTCTCAAATTGTGTGGGAAGGGCTTAATTTCATTCATATTGTTTCCATAATTAATTTGCATTTAAGATTGGATTTTTTTTCATTAAAATGGTTTTATTTTTTATTAATACTTTTTAAAATTCTATCAATTTTCAAAAAACATTTTGTGTTGATGTAGTTTTGTTAATATAGTTAATACAAAGGAAACACCTATAGTGCTGCTGGTAGATGTTAGGGTACAAATCCAATCAAACAAAGACATAGCCTCTATTGCAGCCTACCTTGTGGCAGTAAGAGCAACAAAATTTCAGTATTTCACCACCGTTATTGCACTGCAGGTAACCTCATGTCAAGTTAATTAGATCAGATATTTGGCATATTCCTCACAGTAACTCTGCAGATGAACTTCAGAGATAATCTAAAATTCATCTGCAGCGTTGCTGAGAGGAATATGCCAAGTATCTGATGGATAAAATTCCCCAGATCCTTTAGTCCTGGAACAGGTCCTGGAGAGGCTTTAAGGGCTGGGCTGGCATAGTTATCTGTGGGCTGGGGTTAATTCTGTTGGCTGCAGAAAGTGGACATATCTGTCCTAGCTGTTTAAGGCTTCCTTGAGAAAGGGAAACCCCTAATCCCTCCATAAGGGGCCGTGACTGAACTTAATAATTCTGGACAATTGTCCAGCTTCCAATCTTCTTAAACCAATCAAGACTGAGTAGCTTTGGATTGTTGGATCTCCTGGTTTGGGAGAAGATTTTGATTTGATTCTGAATAGAATGTAGTATCTCATAGAGATTTGTTGTGTAATATTAGCATCCTCTTAGACTGATAGCTCAAAGACCATGTGGAAGTCATGGCTAGGAGAGCCTTTGCATAACTTTGTCAGTTGCAGCTCTTCCTGACTGGCAAGCTCTTTCATGGGCATTCATGATTTTCCAAATTGGACTGCTGTAACATGTTCTACATAGGATTATCCTTGAAGGACATTTAAAAGTCCATCTGGAACAGAACATGACAGCATGAGCGGTTAAAGGAACTAGTTATCTGGCATATGAGACACTGCTGCTCCATGAGCTGCCTTGGCTGCCAAATTGCTTGCAGGTACAATTCAAGGTGCTAATAGGTACCGGGAGAGCTGGGTTAATTACAGTACCTCTTCATGCTTGTTTCCACCTATGCTATCTGATTGGGCAAGAGGAGAATGTTGCAGATACTGTTAGCCACCGAATATTGCTGGCAGGGCTCAGTAGAAGAGCCTTTTTTGTGTGGCACAAACCCCTGGAATGCTGTACCTTCTCTCCAGAAATAAAGTTGGCTGCAATCCTGCAAGCTTCTGTATGGCTTTGAAGCCTGGTTCTGTGCTTGGAACCCAGGATGTATCGTGGAACCTGTTTTCTGGGCTGTGTTGTAGGCTTTTTATGATGCTCTAGCTGCTGCATGTTTTATTTCTCATTTTACTTTTATAGTTTTGTATATAGTGAGCCACCAAAATCATGAACTCAGATGAGCAATTATAGAAATTAGTTTATTTGATTAATTAATAATATTGATAGATTTTAAAGTTCATATTTTCAGTGCAATTAGAGGGCAGATATAGATAATACGTATTGGGAAAAGCTAGATTTTTAATAGGAAGAATATATGTAAGGGAATTTTGTCAGACAAAATCATGTAAGACTCAAATCTGAACTATTGTGTTTAATCCTCCTAAAAGTAAGCATTGTAATAGCAAGTTAATGTTAACCAAGAATAGACTCTAGCTTGTCATTGCTATATAGATAGTGCTCCCATTTATGACCACAACTGAAGCCAAAACTTCTACTGCTAAGTGAGGCAGTTGTTAAATGAATTTGGCCCCATTCTAAGAACTTTCTTACTACAGTTGTTAAGTGAATCATTGCAGTTAAGTTAACAACACGGTTGTTAAGTGATTCTAGCTTCCCCCAAAGACTGCTTGTCAGAAGGTTGCAAAAGGTGATCACATGACTCCAGTATACTGCAACAGTGATAAAAATGAGCCAGTTATCAAGCATCTGAATTTGGATCACAGGACCATGGGAATGAACATCAGTTGTAAGTGTGAACAACAGTCTTAAGTCATTTCAATGCCATTGTAACTATGAGCAGTCAATAAACGAAAGGTTGTAAGTCGAGGGATACTTATACAACACTAGACATTATAGCCAGATTCTAAAAAAATTTAAATAAACCCCTATATCATTTCAACCTGGAAATTGTGCTCCCCTACCATCATCAATTCTTGAAGAATATGATTGCTATACAGAAATTAAAGCTCCTGAACAGAACTAGAGACTAACCTTACCAATTGATATCAGGATTGACATTTGAGACCTCTGTGACTGCATTTAGCTAGATTGACACTATTGGTGATATAAGTGTGTAACCTGGGTCTGAAAGAACCAAACATTACTTGTTAATCTCTTATTTAGATTAGAAGTTTATTTTGGGATGTCTTACATCTCATTTGCCTTGTATCTTGATTAATAAAAAACAAATGAGGAACATAAGAGACAGAATGTAGTACAGTACATGTCTAGTGTTCACTTGTAAAGAGAGACATGCTCTCCTAAGTTGAGTATGTGTTGATATACAAATATAAAATAAAAGAATAGAAATATCATAGGTATGGAATACTCTGTATGTGAGTGGTTGCTGAAAAACAGAAATGATTTTATTCAGAGAGCTTATGGAACAATACTAGTG